TCTCATTTAGAGGCACTGCTGTTTAATCCCATCAAAGCCATGTGTGTATAGTGAGCTAACCCAGATGGGGAACAACCTAGTGGAAAAATTATTTGGTGTAGTTTACTGTTTACCTGCAGCAACAGCTCTGCTTATATGATACAAAGGGAAACACACAGGTTAGAACAGACTGTTAGACGTGAGACTATTTATGAACCACCCCAGAACTGCACATGAGCTGGGACTGCACATGTCTCAGAAGGAATGCAGGTGGAATAGCACACGAGGGAAAAGTGATATCATCACCTTTACCTGCCACCTTTCCACGTATTTATGAGTTTTATGGTTTAAGATTACCACATATTATTAAGCTTTTAAGTTGTTATAGATAAAAATTTCTAAAACTGTAGTCTGTTTTAAAATAATTGGGAGTCTGAAGTGGATATAGTGCTTAGTTTAAAAATAATGTAAATATTGTTCGGGTAATTCATATTTTCTATTTCAAAGAATAGTATAGCAACTTTAGAAAAAGGTATGGCTAATTTCAAGAACAATCAGTAATAGGTTCTTATTTTATTAGGCAGTTGTTTAAGAAGATAAGCATTTTCATCCAGGTTGCAAAAAAAAGTCTTTAAAATTGTATAGATCATTTTAAATTGATTTTCAGTTTAAGTCAGTATTACAAGACAATGTGTAACGTGAAAATAATTACGAAGGCCTGCTATTAATAATGCCCACTGAATCTGACAGTGAAGAAGGTAAATTTGGAGCGTTTCCGTTAATATTTTTAATATTTTCCCTGCCTGACTTAAAAAAAAAAAATCACAATCTTTTCCCAGTATTTCCCAATGGAAGCTACAGTGTTTTTATATGTATATGTAATAGATATTGCCAAAGGCTTTTCAGATTGATTTAATTTGAAGAACTTGATGTTTTCGCAACAGCAAAAGTACCAAACAGCTTTAAAATTTTTACTAGTCATTGTCTTTTGAAAGGGCTGTATTTTCAGATCTTGCAGTCACTAAGCTGGCCGTATCACTTCCATGGATAAAATTATTTTCAACGCTTTTATGACAGGCGTCCAGGACTTCATGCTCCAAAGATAATACTGTCCAAAACATCCAGCCATTATAGAAACCCGTTTGTCAAATGTTGGAGATGTTTATATGATGATACAGTCTGCATTTTATCATTCTTGTTTGTTATAATAAGACATTGTTTTCCGTTTGCAAAGCTGAGATATAACCTGGAATTTTGGGGATTTCGGAATATATGTACATTTGTCTTGTTTCACCTTTAAATGTTATAAGAAACAGGTTAAGTCTTTCTCTGTTGAATGTTTGAAACTAGCATGACTTAACTGATTTTTTTTGTTGTTGTTCTGGCATTTGTATTTTCAGAGTCTTGAGGCTGTCATCCACAAGATTTCCTTGCAATCTGTCCTTAGGATTAGTCTTATCTTTTGTGCTAGGTTTCCATAAAGCAGTGTCAGGCAATTTAATTCCCTGCTCTTTTACTTCTCTTACCAAGCATAAAACCACCTTGGTAAGTGGACTGAGACCTTGCGGTTTGCTTTTAACTGCTGAGGGTATCGCTTCCAGCCTGAGCTGCCGTCTCAGGAGCAATTAAAACTGAAGTACCACCTTGTTTATGTTAGATTCCATTGCAGGGCGCAACCTTAAAATGAAACAAGTTATTCTTAAGAAGTGGTTGTGGAATGGCAGATCCCCTTTCCATCTCAGAGGAACAGAAAGTGGACATTTGCATCAGGCAAAAGAGCGTTGCCAGCAGATTGAGGGAGGCTGTTATTCCCATCTACACAGCCATGGTGAGACACATCTGTAGTGCTGGGTCCAGTTCTGAGCTCCCAATACAAGACAGAGATGAACATAGTAGAGTGAGTCCAGTGAAGGACTGCAAAAGTGATTAAAGGCTTGGAGTGTCTGGCACAGAAGGGAAGGTTGAGAGAGCTAGGATTGCTCAGCCTGAAATAGAGGAGACTCATGGGGGATCTTACATATAAATGCTTAAAGAGGGACAGGAGGATGAAGCAGATAAAGCAAAGCTGAGTGGTGCCCAGTGACAGGGCAAGAGGCAACAGGCACAAAATTAATTACAGGAAATTCCGCTTAAACATAAGAAAATGGCTTGGGGTTTGATTTTTGGGTTTGGGTTTTTTTATGGTGGGTGGTCATACATTGAAACAGGTTGCCCAGAAAGGCTATAGAGTCTCCACCCTTGGAAATACTCGAAACCAAATTGGACAATGTCCTGAGCTACCTGTAGTAGCTGACCATGCTTGGAGCAAGGGGGTTGAATTAGATGATCTCCAGACCTCTCTTCCAACTGCAACCATTCTGTAATTTTGTAAAACCCAGCATCAGTAGGTGAGTATCCATCTATGTGCATAGGTAGGCCAAGCCAGGAAACACTTCTTTTCCTGCTATTAAGACTTATTTGCTTGGAGAGCTGGGAGGTAGGATCTTTGAGATGGGATTTGAGGTTTAGCATTTCCAGTGATAAATGTGTCTACCCGAGTTATTTTAAGTGTAAACAGTAGGAAAGTTAGAGGCATCAAAGGAAAAATGCTCTTTAAGAACTAATTATTTTTTATGATAAAGATTCTCCTTCCTCCCTCACTCCCAATGTTAAGATCTAGTCTACAACGATGCCTTTGTTGTGTAGAGTTTTTACTTCTTTAGGAATATATGATTGGGAAAAATTACTATGATTTAGATCAGGAATTCAGTATTTTGGTCTTGTAAAAGTATTGCCCATTTCTAAAATAATCTGAAAATCTGCAGAAGTAGTTTTTATCATTTCTTATGAAGTAGGTTTATATGCCAGTGGGTTAATAAACTTACTTGCATGTTCAGAGCTTGTATTTGTTTAGTTACTAACTAATTATATTCAGGGACATTTTGCAGTTTCAGAAGATTTATAGGGCTGCATTAAATGGCAGTTTCTTTTGCCTGCTCTGGAGCACGTGCCATGGTGGTTTTAAGTGTGCTGTGCATGTTTGACAAGTTAGAAACTTAGCAATCCTCATCAGTGCTGAGCCACACTGTCTCAGGCTTTGTTTTTGTTGGCTGGGATCCAGTACCATGCCATAAAATACATTTACTTGACAGTAGAAAGTGGAGAACCATATTAACTACAAAGTTTAAAAAGGCTGGCTAAACACATGCAATAAATATTAATAAAAGAAAAGGCCACCCACCTTTGACCTTCAGTGCTTGTTATTAGCTTTGTGTGTTTTACAGTTACCATAGCATTTTGAGCATTACATAACAGTATGTAAGAATGTCCTATTTAAATCAAAGGACTTATTAGCAGCCCTGTATTGGTTATTTTGGTCACTTGTGGCAGGAATCATGGACACAATGCGTTATCAGAATCCTATTTTGTACTTCAGAGTTACCTGTAAAAAGATTGTTGTTCTTCAGCTGTCTCGTAATAAATAAACCAGGTTTATTTGTACCTCTAATTAAATGGAAATATATAAAATTGTATGTATATCAGTGTAGAAGGAGGGTGTTTTACAGAGGAACCTTGTAAAAAACGGTCGGTTGAGTCACATAAACTCATCTCACTGAATTTTTCTCCTTAAACAAAAACACAAAGCAGAAAAACGGCTCAGAAAATAGTCATCCATCGTCTTGTAGTAAAATGAAGTTCTGATTCATGATGGCTGAATGGGTTTCAGACTTTTTTCAGTATTTTTTGTTATGTGCTTCATAACATTCAAAAAAATGAGATCTACACCAAACCAGAAATGGACTGGAACATGATGTGGGAAGTGATTCAGGACTCACTAGACCTGATGTATAACAATTGTCATCCAAATTAGATGGTTCTCATCTCCCAAGTTGTAGGGCTATATTGCACCCCTATTTATATTTTAGCTTTGCTGTATTTCATGTGCTGTATTATGTAAAAAAAAAAAAGTATATACAGATACTTTAATGATGGATGATAGTGGTTGTATATCTTCACTTTGAGAAGAGTCTGTTCCTGGTTTTTGAGACAGGAGAAGTAGTAAGCTTGGGGGGGCAGGATAGGGCTGGAAAAATGAGCATTGTTCGGTGAAATACTGACAGGATGATGCATCCTGCTGGCTCTGGATACATTTATTACATAGGTAACACAAGCACTGTTAAGACCTGTCTTCAGTCTTGGACAGTATGCCTTTAAAGAGTTACTATCTCTCAAGAATAGGTACTTTTTTCACCCCAGTTAGTCAGGTGCACATACAGGTTTTGTGTTTGTGTGATGTGTTGCACTTCCCGGCAGATTGTACCCACTTCTTTGGCTCTCTCAAGGTAGAAGTTTGAGTCTTACAGACTTTCTGTGCCGGCCTGCTGAATCAGACTGAGTACAGTAATCATACGGAGATTCAAAGTCACATGGGAGAACCATGTGGATATAAAAGAACAATTGTCTTAATGTCTGAAAATAAATTCCTGTGCCAACCAGAAGGGTGACAGAGCTGTGAGACATTGGCTTCAAATACCAACTTCTTCAGTGTGTTGTGGGGAAGAAGGAAATGAGTGAAAATCAGCTCTCTTCCATTTCTGCAGACAGCGAGTCAAAGTTCAGCACTGTGTGAGAAGAAGGGAAAAACAGATCAAGTAAAGAACAGGGTGCAAGAATTAAGAATTAAAAAGAAAAATGCAAAAGTCATGAAGGCCTGCATTGCTATATCCAAAGCACTCAATTGTTCTCCTTCAAATGCCTCTTTAACTTTCCATTATGCCCATAAAGACCGTGCAGCAGTTGGCCTGTAGAAACCAATGGTTATCACACTGCCATCCATTTTTACTTCCTTCTCTGCCTCCATCCATTCCTCTTACATTGAATTCTGCTCTGGAGAGGAACTGCTGTTCATTCAAATATTAATTCATGTGCTTAAGCTTGTTCCTTCTACAGCGTGACTTTGATCCACTGTTTGACAGTATGAATATTAATTCTAAGATCTAGAGGAATGACCAACTAGCTATCAATATGTTGCTTTATTTCAGAGTGTTGTGCGTTGCCTTTGGCATCCCAAGCTGAACCAGATCATGGTTGGTACAGGAAATGGTTTGGCCAAAGTGTACTATGATCCTGTCAAAAGCCAGAGGTACGTAATCATGATTAATGATTAAGAATGTTATTTTTTCCCAAATTTAGCCTGATTCTGTGTTCTGTGTTTATACTAAGAAATGAGAAAAACTGGTTTAGTAACATTTGTTTTGCAGAGTTTTACTTATTTAGTAACAGGATTAAAAAAAAAAAAAAAACAGTTTGGTTTTGAAAAGCTGTGCATTTTCCTCTGGGCTTTTCATGGTGCAGTATGCTGGCTGTTCTACCTGAATTTACAAACACTTTCATTTTTTAATTGCATGAAATCTGCAGTAAGAATGACCAGCCTTTCATCTGATCTCTTGGAATTTGCTCATGTGGTGTTATTGAAAGGATATTTATTGTATTTAGTCATATTTTTGATGTCTTTTTTTTTTCCCCTGAAGTAAAAAGATTGTTTAGAAGCATTAGCTTAAACTTCAGTGTATGTGAAGTAATACTGGACCACTCAGTTTGAGAGGGGGCAAAGCAAGGAAGCACATGCCCATCTTTCTGCTAGTCTTCTTCCCCACAGCCACCTGTCCATGTGAATTTTGCCTGTACATCTAATGGAAAGGTAGTAGTGACTCATCAGAAAGTAACTTGTCAGCCTGAAATGAAAAGAAGAGGACTTCAGTAGTCTATAAACACTTCTGGATTGGCTGGAGAACTGGGGCATGTTTCCGTCCTGTCAGCAGGGAGGAAATGTACACTTCATCTATACTGAGTGGTATGAATACGATGTTCTCCCCCTGTATGCACTCATCTTTGTTTCACTGGCATCCAAAAACATACTGTGTTACAGTTCACGGGTTCTGAATACTTACTGTGACCTGGACACTTGGATGTGAAAATACACTCTGGTTTACAAAATTATCAGAAATAAGTTTTATTTTTTCCGGTCTTCGTCAATTTAGAGAATAAGAGAGTTCGTCATCATTGTTTGGACCGCTCTCCAGAGGGCAGCCTGAGTCTTCTAGGCACAGACCACAGGAGCCCTAGCTCAGTTTTGTGCCCAGTTTGTTTCCTGGTACTTACCATGAGGAGGAAGATACCACCAGTTTAAACCAGTCCCGCTGCAGTGTACAGACACTTCTGGTTAGATAACTGCCACCTCTGCTGCTTAGGAGGAGGACTAGGAGCAAATCATTGCCCACGCTTGGAGAGGAGCACTTTCAGTGCACACGCTACAAGTACTGTGGACAAATGAAGTATGAAATTAATCTTCCACCCTTATTTCCGCGTGTCATATAAACCGCTCTATAACAGAAACAATAGGCTCCCTACCCTCCTTCACATATGCATGGACAGGCAAAGATACACACATTCGTGAATATTTAAAGTGCTATATGATTTTGTTGAAACTATATCTTGAATAAAAAATGGTTTCTCTTTGATATAAACAGAGCAACTGAACTGCTGTATGTTTCTTCCTAGGGGAGCAAAATTATGCGTGGTCAAAACAAAACGAAAAGAGAGACAACCAGAGACTCTTACACAGGATTACATTATAACACGTAAGGAATTTAAACAGATCTTTATAGCAGCATCCTTAGCTCTCTCTCAGGTTTGAAATTACTTGCAGATCATTTAGCTTTATATTTTCCCCTCTAAATAAAGTTGCAGTCTTTCATTAAGCATTGGTTAGTGGTGCAAGATGTTAGTACTTCATACAGATTTTTTTGTAGCCTTGCACAAAAGGTATATATAATCAGAAAGGTATATATTCTGTATGCTCTGTCAAGTTGTTAATGATGGTTTGTTTCTAGATTCTGATACACCTGAAAGCCTGAAAGGAAAACTGCCATAGAAAAGAGAGGGGGGGAAAAAGCTCCAAAATTTTGGAGCTTTCTTAAATCTTCAGTTTTGCATAACAAAATTGGTGAGTGGAGATGGTTTAGGAAGTGTTTTCCTACTTGGAAACATTAACAGTACCAGTGGCAAAATCAGAGACATTAGAGATAGGTTCTTGAATTAATTCCAAGTGATTTTTGAAAATTTAGAGCTTGCACAGAGTTATATGCAGTTTTAAATAGCTTTAGTATCTCTCTAGCCACAGGGTTATACTTCTCTAGGACCTTATGTTCATATTAAGGCTCACGGATGCATGAGAAATAGTTGTCCTTGTTACTATAAAATGTTTAGTGATCTGCTTTTTGCGAAGGGCAGATTTTACAAGGGGATGCAAGAAGGACATTGAGTTGCTGGAGCATGTGCAGAGAAGGGCAACGAAGCTGGTGAGGGGTCTGGAGCACAAGTCTTATGAGGAGCGGCTGAGGGAACTGGGGTTGTTTAGTCTGGAGAAGAGGAGGCTGAGAGGAGACCTTATCGCTCTCTACAACTACCTGAAAGGGGGTTGTGGTGAGAGGGTGTTGGTCTCTTCTCCCAGTTAACCAGCAATAGAACAAGAGGAAAAGGCCTCAAATTGTACCAGGGGAGGTTTAGATTGGATATTAGGAAAAAAATTCTTTACTGAGAGAGTGGTCAGGCATTGGAACAGGCTGCCCAGGGAGGGGGTGGAGTTACCATCACTGGAAGTGTTCAGAAAACGTGTAGATGTGGCACTTCGGGACATGGTTTAGGGGGCATGATGGTGTTGGGTTGATGGTTGGACTTGATGATCTTAAAGGTCTTTTCCAACCTTAATGATTCTGTGGTTTTGGCCCTCCCCATTAGTATCACCCTGTGTAATGTTTCCTCATGTCAAATGAGAACAGCAATACAGTTGTGCAGCCCGGCTTCTTTATCCTCTTCCAATTCCATGGTGCTTGGATTCAGCTCTGTTTTCCAGTAGTCTTAGTCTTAGAAATAGCTAAAATCACTTCTGTACAACAAAGAAGTTGTTTGGCAGCATAATAAACACAACAGAAGTTCAGAATGAGAAAGTCTGGGCAGCCGTGGTAACCAGGCCCTTATCAAGGCACTTTGGTTCTGGGTTCCCATCTCAGGTACTTTCCAGCCACAGCTGTCTCCTACTTACCTCACTGCTGCAGGTGTCTGGCTCCAGTTTTTGGGTAACAATGGGTAAAGTAGCAGCTGACAAAGATCAGGGATATTTATCTCCTTTGGGTGCTCTCATCCTTACTACAGCCTTCACGGTATCAGCACATGGTCTATTATCTAAATACTTTGTGCACTGTTATTAAGTGTTTATGCTGTAAAGCGCTTTTGTGATTTTTAGAAAACTTTCTGCTTAAAATCCAATGGAACTCATGTATTCAAAGGCATTTATAAATGCCATTCAAAAATTTAGGTCCCAATTATGCAAAGTTTCGGAATTTTGTCACTGAGTTTTAGCTGTTTAACTGTTTCTTACCCATCATTTTGAAACTAAATAAGGATACTTCCATATAAAACAATGCATAAAAGTGTTGTAAGGAATTACTTTGCAAATTTTTAGGTTTGTTGCACATTTTGGAAAGTTTTCAGAGGTTAGATGTCTGTCTTTTAAGCTTACAGATAGAACTGGAAAGAACTGAAGATCTCAGAAGTCCTTTCGCAAAGTGAACCAACGCCTTTTTCCTTCTCCTCTTTTTAATCTTTTTTTTTCCCTTCAGACTTCCAGTTCCTCTTTAATCTCAGGATTGCCTGTAATCGCTATTTAAAATGCAGGAATGTTGGTTTGAGAGATTAAATGTTAATTTTAAAATACAGGAATATGAAGTCTGGGTTTCCCTTAGGCAACCTGGACTCCACAAATGGCAAAAGCTTGTATCTGTACATTAGTCACCTCAGATGCTCTGTGCAAACCAATCAAACTTAGTGCTTGCCAGCAAATTGTCCCAGGCATTTCATACTTCATGAAATCTGCAAAATTAAAACCTAAACATTTCTTTCCAAAGATCTACTGCTGTGTCACCTGGCTGTGACTTCACTCAGTCTAATCAATTGAGCAGGCTTCCAGAAATAAGCTGAAAAACCAAACCTACAGGTCGCTGGATGCTGCATTCTTTTTTTTATTCAGTATAGAGCTGGTGCCCCTAAATTTAAGATTTGGTTGGTTGTTTTTTGTCCTTGTTGGGTCTTTTGACCCCAACACAATTTACCACATTTTGGGAAACAGAAGCAATCAGCACACCTGATTGTGAGAGCTAATCCTCACCATAAAAAAACCGTGTCACTAAACATGGTGTTTTTCTGTTGCTGACAAATACTACTCTTGTGTGAGCAGACCAAAATCATTACTCTGATTGAAGATAACTGTAGCAGATTTATGAGGAAATACAAGTTTTAATCCTGATAACTTATCCAGGTTGTCTCAGTTATGGGTATTCTTCCAAACTTGATTTATCTCATACTTAAGAAAAAACATGGTTGTGACTTCATATGCAGAAACATTACATTTTGGCCCTCTCTGTTTCAGATCCAAGAATGTGTCTAGGGTTTTGTCATGCTCTTAGGGTATTAGAAAGCTGTAGAAACATAGAGAGTTCAGAAAAGAGCAACTGACTGGTCACAATGCTAATGTTGAGAAATGAATGACAGGAAAGACATGGACCTGTGAGAGCGGGTCCAGAGGAGGCCACAACAATGATCAGAGGGCCGGAAGGACAGACTAGGAGAGTTGGGGTTGTTCATTTGGAGAAGAGAAGGCTCCAGGGAGACCTTATTGCAGCCTTCCAGTACTTAAAGGGGGCTTAGAAGAAAGATGGGGACAGACTTTTTAGCAGGGCCTGTAGTGATAGGACAAGGGGCAATGGTTTTAAACTAGAAGAGGGCAGATTTAGACTAGACATAAGGAAGATATTTTTGACAGTGAGGGTGGTGAAACACTGGCCCAGGTTGCCTAGAGAGGTGGTAGATGCCCCATCCCTGGAAACATTCCAGGTCAGGTTGGACGGGGCTCTGAGCAACCTGATCTAGTTGAAGCTGCCCCTGCTGATTGCAGGGGGGTTGGATGAGATGACCTTTAAAGGTCCCTTCCAACCCAAACTATTCTATGATTCTGTGACAGAGGAATAGATGAAATATGCATAAACTGTGCAAACTGTATTTCAGATGTAAGCTTTCTGCCTGAAGGAACCCTGAAAATCTGTCTGCTTTCAACAGAAAGAAGCCCTCTAAAATATACCTCCATAAATCACTGCTTGGACACAGAAGAACTCGGAGGCTGCTTTTGCCACCTTTTCCACTGCAAGGAAATGCTTTGCTTTGTCTTTGTAATTAAAAACTTAAAAATAAAATGGAATTTCTAACATTTCTTTTTCTCAAAACTGTGACTCTTCAGCTCATGCACTTCCAATGTTCCGTGAACCACGACAGCGAAGCACCAGGAAGCAGCTGGAGAAGGATAGGCTGGACCCCATGAAGTCTCACAAACCTGAACCACCAGTAGCAGGACCAGGTAATCTAGGCATAATCATTTCAGACTGTCGTATGCCAAAGGGACCATCATGCTTGGATGCTATGCTCGTTCAGATTTACATTCAAATTTTTTTGGGTGGCAACTCTACTATATATGGGTGGACAGCACTGTAAGACGTTGATCTTTGATTGGAGTGCTTGCCTGGAATAAATTAGTAATCGTAATGACTTACTTTAAGTTATATAATCAGTAAAACACTTATGTGCAGGCAGGTCTAAATTGGACTCTTCCTATAGCATTAAATAACTTCTTTGTATCAGATCACTGTTACAGACACAATAGAACATTTCTCTGTTTGTTTCTTAAATATTTTTCTCTAAAATACTCTTTTTCTTGCTACAGGTCGTGGTGGGCGTGTTGGAACTCATGGAGGTACCTTGTCATCATATATAGTCAAGAATATTGCACTGGATAAGACAGATGATAGCAACCCTCGAGAGGCCATTTTACGTCATGCAAAGGAAGCGGAGGAGAATCCATACTGGGTTGCTCCTGCATATGCTAAGTAAGGAAGCAATTAAAAATACAAGTAATATTTCTGGAGGCCAGTGGGAGTTTGATAAAAAGAGAAGGTACACATTTTTAATGGTATACTTTGCCATTTTTGTATTGCTACCACAAATACGTAAACGAAGAATATTTAACCAAACTTTACTGACTGTACTTTCTTTATTAGTGTTTAGCTCTTTAGTGAAATAATCACCATCTCTTTCCAGAAGATGAAAATATCTTCAAAAAGTCTTTGTGAAGATAAGCGTTTTTGGGAGGTTAAATTATTGAAATTTGACATTTCCATTTTTAAAATATACCTATCAATGCTATAAAATTATTTTAAAGCTTTCTAAGTTGACCAGAATTTATATTCTTCTCCAAATTAATGTCTGAAATTGCAATATACCTTTTAATAAGGTACTGTCCGATCGACAGATTGGGATGATAAGTTTTCCAGTATGCCCTGTAGTTCTGCATGATTCTTAGGTTAAACCTTCAAAATATTTACTTTGTGTTATGACAGTATATTTTAGGTGATTTCTTGAATGTCATAAGTTTTTATGCAAATTTTTCCTACATAAAGACCTGAGTACCTGCTTGAATTAACTAGGTGTAAAAGGTGTAGAAAAATCAAAAATTGCAGCGATAAAATCTCCTACCAAAAATTCAATGGAAAGAAACAAGTGTGCAGTTGTTACATAAAGAGCCTCATCAAGATTATGTATGTCTTGGTAATCCCAGAGATGATAATTTACTCAGTAGAAATTGTATGTGTGAGTGTGGTATTTGTGTGTAGGCATTACAGTGAAAATTGTGCAATATGCTTTCTACCAAAGATTTTTTCTTTTCCTAAAAATAAACACAGTTCAAACCATTAAATAAATAATTCACAATAGTACTAAAATAAATACTAAATAAATGCATTTCATACTATTGAACAGAAAGTACCACTTTAAAAATTACCAACATCTTCACATTTTCATATTATCATTGATGTTTTTGTTACACAAAATCATCTATGTGGTATACATAGTATTAACAGAATGCATAAGGTGAAGGTTTTGAAGAGATTATATAGTCTGCACAGAATGGACAGAGACAATAACGAGCTATTTTTTCTTGTTTGCAGCGCAGTGTTTTATCTCCTAGGCTATATGTTCGTTAGTACTTTACTGACTGTACTTTCTTTATTAGTGTCTATCTCTTTAGTGAAACAATCACCACCTCTTTCCAGAAACTCAAAGTACGTTAAGAATCATATCTGGTTCTAGTAGTGACACTTGTTGTCTGACTTGACTGACGTGTTCACAAAGATGACTGAATAGCTGTTCTGAAGCAGCTTGAGAATGTCAGTGACCCAGCCTGGCTTTGACCAGGTAATCAATAAGTATGGCATAGCGGTAATTAGTAAGTATGGCATTTGATGTTGTACATCAAATCAATGCATTATACAGTATCACCGTTAGTACCAAAAAAGCAATATTTGAAAAGCTGATTCAGTAATGGTTGTTGTAATGAATATGCTAAATATTGATTTTTAATTGTTTGAGAGTTCATGTTTACTAGAGATGAAATTTACTTTGAATGTGTAGGTATTGAGATATGCGGGTATTGATTCTCAAAAGTAAATATGATCACACATTCCATCAAGTAGATAGATACCTCAGTATATTTTTGGCTCAGTAACTTCATTGATTGTATATTAAATTTCATCCCTGACACCTGCAATGTAGTAGACATGAAAGTTTTAAAACATAGCTGTATTACAGAAGGCTTACTGTGTCAGGTGGGCAGATCTCATTACAGTTTCTTGTTAAAGATGTAGCTGCAGGGGAAGAAGAGAGCTGGCTGAGAAGCGGGGAGGATGCAAGTCCAGCCTGCTATTAACTTACACACCAGACGGTGATATGTATGTGGGGGAATTGGACTGCAGCCAGACGCATGCTGTCGTGATGGTTTTGTCAGCTGATAAATCTCATGCCAGTGAAACTAACGTTATCCTTGCTTTAAAAGCTTGATTTTAAGATGTACGCTATGCAAAGAGCATTTTAAAAATAATTTTCTTGTTGTTATTCTTGTTGCTGCTGCTGTTGTTATTATTATCAGCTAAGACACTTAAATGCAAAAACTTTATTTATAATTGTGTTATGTTCTTAATTTTCAGAAATGGAGGTCTATATTAACAGCTGCATACCAATGGCAGTCATGGGTTTCGTTAGCTGCTTGCCTGCACACACAGATAACATAGAAAGCTGTGTTAATTATATCCTATATCTGACTTTGCAGCATATGTATGTTCACCTTGTATATAAAGCATCTTAGAGATGTCCTTACGGATGCGTGTTTAATAAAATATGCAAAGTACAAGTAATTGATATATGTTATCACATACTACTGGATTGTAAAATTGTCCCCGGTGGCCCTGTTAAAATCAGGAGCTCATAATAACGAGCAGTATACAAACCCAGGGAAAATGGCTGCTTTAGCTACAGCATAAGATATACTATAGAGTTAGGAAAGGTGATACTCTGATAAGTACCTAAAATTACATACTGTCTTGAGACCCAAAAAACATATATCCAGTATGTTTCATTTTTTTTAATAGTGTTTATTCTTTTACTATATTACTTCTCTGCTATTAGTTTTTCCACATTTCTTGTAGTAAATTTTCACTTCCCACAAATACGGGATAAAACGATCCACTTGATGTATTTCTTGATTGATAAGGCTTTTGATTTTGCCTTGTCTAATGGATGGTTATTCACTTGCAGTTTTTCGTTTTCCTTCTTAAGAAAACGTCTAATGAAACCATAGTTACTTAATTTTCTGCAGTGAAGGTTATTAAATAAATTTAGACTGAGAGGACTGAAAAACCCTCTTTTTCTGGTTGATAAGAGTTTTCATAACTCTGATTGTGATGACTGGGTTAAAGTTCATCCAGTCCTGATTTATACTGATTAGATCATTCTAAATCAGATAACTGATTTCATGCTTTTTTAATTGTATTTTCAATGCAATATTTCTTTTAAAAAATACCTTTTGCTGTTAGTTAATACAATATATGTAAAAATATTTCCTTTTTGTTGGACTTAAATGTGCCTAATTTATTCTTGAATCCAAGTAGTCATTTGCATTATTTATCACTTGTTATCATTACCCTGACCTTTCTGTTTCTCCTATAATTTGAGCCAGAAAAGGAGAGGGAAGTACACAAGCGGCAAAAGGATGGGTAAAAAAACAGATGCTGCTGAAAGATATACCGGGGAATGATAAGCAGTACATGCTGAATCAGGAGATGACATGTTGCAGAAGCCTAAAGTGAATAAAGTGTCAAGAATGATGTGATCAACACAAAAGAAAAGTCATAATGGATGAGGACAAAGAAAAGATCTTGAGGTTTTTCAGGAAGAAGCTTGTTAGAGACCTTGGCAAGAGCCGTTTCAGTGGAGTGAAAGGAAAGGAAGGACAGATTGAATATTTCAAGTAAAGAACTACAGGAAAGGAACTTGAGGCATCAGTTGTAAATGTTTGAAAACTACATTCTTTGTGAGCTGTTTGTTTTAACACAGCTGTACAGAGATGCTATAATGACTTCAGATGTCCCTCTGAAGGATCAGCAGGAGTTACTAAGCATTGTAGCTGAGGGCCTAATCAGGCCCAGATGTAGCTCTCTTCTGTACCGTAGGGAAGGTGAGGGTGAAATTTCCCTCCCCACCAAGATAGACCAGAGTTCTTAGAAAATACCTTTCAGTTCAGTCACGTTGCACCTATTTTGCTCTCTTTGTTATTGCTGCTTGTCTCAGGCAAAGCTGAATGATGTGAAGCAACAGCGTGTAGCTGTGCTGTGTTTACCGAACTTGCGATGGCAGTGCCAGTGTGTGAAGCGGTAGTTACGCAGTGGCTCAAGCATCTTTAGTTGAAGAAGCAGGACTAAACAGACATTTTCTACCAGTGATTTTGTTGGCACATGTTGGTATATTTAAGCTAAATCGTTTTAGGAAATTGGTAATTTTGAGAGGGAAGCCCCTGAGATTCAGAGAAGAGTCAGGCTGGTTGGTGGGATAAGGAATGCAAAGGGGTCTGATGCTGAAAACCTTCACTTTTGTGTCTGGAAGTAGCCTTTATGACATTATTCTGGTTTCCAAGCATGCTTGAAAGTCGTCTTTTTTCTTTGTTTCAGTGCAGTATAAACACAAATTTCAAAAGTTACTGCAACATGAGTCACATGCCATGATATGCAGTTGTCATTGCCAGCTAGTTTAGTTGTAGCAGTATTTTTTTAGCTGCTAGTCTATGAACCTCAGATGACAAAGAGCTACTTTGACTGGATCCCTGAAAGGTAAATAAGAAAAACAGCCCATAACCAGAGGGATTGTGGTGACTCTAAAGCAGTCTGCATGGCCCCTAGAAATCTTTTAAGGGTCTGCGTATCTGAATATGTTGAAGACCACTGATACAAAGAGAAGTCTGCAGTATGAATAAATCATGTTAGTTTGTTTTCCCATTTTTTTTTTCAGCCTGTTAGTGTAACCCACAATAGGAATGCATTTGTCAGTGTGTGAGATACTGGTTTCAGCTGATAGTCATGTGGGAACAAAGGATCAAAGAATAATTTAGGTAGGAAGGGACCTCTGGAGGTAATCTAGTCCAACCTCCTGCTTAAAGCATATTAACTTAGATCAGGTTGCTCACATCCAATTAGATTCAGGTTTTTCAGGGACTTGCCCAGCCAAGTTTGAATATCCTCGAGGATGGAGATTCCACACCACCTCTCTAGGCAGCCTGTTCCAGCAGTCAGGTTGGCAGGCATAGTATGCTCTTGCTAAATCTGTGCTGGCTGTTCCCTGTCAACCTTCTTGTCCTTCATGTGCCTGGAAATGCCTTCCATGGGGGTTTGTTCTATAGTCTCCCCAGGGACTGAGATTAGGTAGGCTATCCTGTAGCTCCCCAAATCCTCCTTTTGCCCTACATAAAGATGATGATGTTTGCCTTTTCTAGTCAAGAACCTCCCCCAATGACCATGACCTCTCAAAGATATTAGAGTGCCCTTGCAATGACATTGGCCAACTCCCTCAGTGCCTTTGGATCCATCCCATCTGATCTCACAGATTTTTGTATGTCCAATGAGCTATGTACTCACTGTCTCTGTCTTCCTCTTCTGTTGGTAATGTCTCACTCCCTCCCAAAGTCTTTGGTGATGAGGTAGGGGTCCTCGGACACCTGAGGACATACCTTCTCGGGGAAAATAGAGCCAAAAAGAGAACCAAGTATCTTGACCTTTTTCATATCATATGTTACTGGGTCACCTGCCTCAGTAACATTGCCCTTAGCATTCCTTTGGCTGTCAGTGTAGCTGTAGAAGCCCTTAGTATTGCCTTTCACATTTCTTTCCAGTTTAAACTGCAGCTGAGCTTTGACTTTCCTAAATCTGTTCCTACATGTTCATGTAATGCCTCTGTTCCTCTCAGCTAAGGCTGAACCTCTTCCTCTGTCTGTGTTCTTCATTTTTGGGGTTTGGGGTTTATCTCAGTCAGGAGATCCCTGCACATCCATTCTAGGTTTCTGCCAGACTTAATTTTCTGCACATGGGGTGGAATATGTTTTGAGGAGGTTGTCCTCAAAGATCAACCAGCCTTCCTTGGCCCCTTTGCCCTCCATGGCAGTCTCCCATGGCAGATCCCTAGCAAACTGAAATCAACTCCCAAAGTCAAGGATAAATAAAATTGAGAAAGTTGATGGGGAAAAAGAACACAGCTTTCCACATGTATTATTTAGCCCTCAGAAATTAAAATATTTTGAAGTAGTAAACCTGTTTTGATAATTTTTATATAAATATCAATCACGCAGCAAACTCCTACTACACTAGCAGTCTCTAGTGCAGTTACTAAGCAGAACAATTTTATGTTTAAATTAAGTGATCACTGCTGATAGTGCTACAACAAAACCAGTGTTTTCTATGCTTATGTCTTTAAAATGGTCAGGCATATGGATCACTCTAGGTGCTCCGATTACTGCTGTGTAGCCTGTGGAGGTGGAACAGTTTACATTTCAGCTGAGCTAAGGCTACAGCCATTTCATGATAATTTGAAAAACGAGATAGCAAGCAGACTTCATTTCCTCTGTATGTTTTTCCTTTAGCTGGTTACTGCTAGATTAGGCTAGTTTCTTTTTTCCTTTCCCCCCACCCCCAGCTGTACTGCAGTCAGTAGCATACGTACGTTAGCTGAAGTGTGTAACTTCTCACTGTGCTGTCCCTATCCTGGAAAATACGTAGGTTCTGCTGCTGCTTGTTTCACAGATTAAGTCCTTCTCCTTGGTTGGTAGTTTCTAATCAAAATTATGACAGTTGCAGGTTTTGTGGTCAGAAATGATAGGTTTACACTTGATTAGTTGCACTTTGCTAACAAGCATCTCAATACTGACCTGATGTGGGGTCACAGGTAGGGCATTCAGAGACCTTTTGTCTATTGTGGTGAAAGGAAGATACACTGTTATGGGCTAAATAAACTTCCATCCCTATGTTTTGAAAAAGAGAAGATTCCATACATTCCACCTGTTC